TCGCCAGACAACTTTCACGGAACACTAGCGTAAAGCTCACCGGCCTTAGTGTGGGACCCGGCAAGAGAAGTATAGATCCAAACCCCGTGTAACATTTAGGCAGCTACAGCCCTTAACTATGTTTTGTTTTAGTGCTAGCGCGTTAATATTATAATATTAACACCAAACTTTTTTGCAGCTGCGCGATATGAAAGTTGACCTTCTGCATCTTGCGAATTGATTACCGCAATCGCTTTTACAAGAGCTGTTATAGTGGTGGAGTTATCACGTGTTGAAAATAACGGATGGATATTTTGATGGGGTAGATGGTGTTGCATTGGCTGAACTGTTGCACGCACTGACCACACGCAGTAGGTCCCTGCATCCACTAATCATCTAGCCGGCAGCAACTCATCGAAGCACGTGGACGACGCACCCCACTCCTGGGTGGCACTTTACATGTTCGCAGTCTGGCTACACAGACGCGAAGATTAGCTTTAATTAGCTAAGGCTTATATTTAAGCCCTAAACTAAGCGTTAAGCAGCTGGCAAACCCTGAATTCTAATCTGCGATAGTTTTGGGACGCATGAGTCGCTTAAGATCTTTAGATTTTGCTTTAAGAGTAATATTACCGTGTCGCATACCGTCGCATACTTCTCACAAGCTCTAGCCGTGTGACGTTGGGGCGTTTGGCCCATTGAAGACTGCATATCGTGAACAGGTCGAGAAGCTGTACCGTGGAGGCGCTAATACAGTCGGTAAGCAGCACTTTATATCTCTCTATAGCTGTGCACGCGAGCAGGCGCTTACTGCTCGAAACATTTGGGCTGGCTGGTCTAAGACAGGTTTGTATCCGTTCAGACCACACAAAATACTTAAGAACATCCAGAAGCTACTGGCCGAGCTACGTCTTCCTTAGAAAAATAGGCCCACCGACGACGAAATACTCTAAACCCTAGTGACATCAGATGCGCTTACCGTACTGCGCAACCAAATCGACCTAGGCGCTAATAAGCTTAACGACTTAACTAGACGTCGTTTACAGAAGCTAAACAATGCCGCACAAAAGTCCTTTACTAAGTACGCTCTTCTCCTAGATAAAAACCGGCTACTATTTAAGCAAAACAACGAAAGCAACTGCCGAAAGTCGGCCCAGTCTACTAAAGTTAGTAAGGCAAAGGTGATAAGCTATAGTAACATATTAGAGGCTCAGGCGAAGCGCGATGCTAAGAAGGCAACCATACAGAAAGGGAAACGTAGTGCGAAGCGCAAAGGACGTCCACCTAAAGAAGGACAAGCAAAGAAGACGCGAAAGAGCGAGGTAGAAGTTGCTAAGAATAAGATTAATACAATAGGTTTAATGTGTTATTATACCATCCTCGCGTTCTAGAATAATAAAATTAGTGCTCAAGTTACAGGCTGGACTATAGCTGTGTGACTATATTTAACTATTAGCTAGCTATATCAGAGAATATATACGCTCATTTCCTCGAGAACTACTCGCTAGCATCGCGCTTTCCTGCGTATCAATGATGGTAGTGAAATTCGGCTCGATCCAGGCTAAAGAAGCGTGCAGACTAAGCTTAGAACGACTGCGTACTTAGCTTCAGGCGTTGCCGCACCTCCCCTAACGGACTCAAGACTGCTAAAGGACAAATTGTAGGAACTAGTAGCGAGCGGCTAGGGCGACTAGGGGACAGCCCTGCTAGCACTTCGCAGCACCGCTGGCGGGGCACGATCTACTGCACGGACTTAGTGCAAGAGGTGCAAAGTGTTAGAGAGATCTATGCCAAGTAATATCCAAGCGGTACACAAGGCTATGCAGGCGACGATTACATAACAATACCACCGCATCCGCTTTCGTCGCTATCGCACGTCGCTTATACCTCCCTCTGTAGAGGAGATCAGTGTAACGGGCTGAACGCCCTTTGCCTCCCATACTCGCCTACGACTTCGTTTACTCCACCTACCCCGCCTAATAGTTACCCCAGCAACCAGCATTG